ATCATATTGCCTTTTGATTGATTATAGTTCAAAGTGAGAGCAAAATCTAGATTTTTTCCTTCAAATGATACAGTTTTTAATTGGATTTTACAGAAAATATTAAGGCATCTATCATTGAAATCTTACACAGTCTGCTGAACATATATAATACCACGTTGTGTATAGCCTAGTAAAGCACTGCACTTCCATATAACAGTACTCCTTAGATGCCCTAGCTAATGCTTTCAGGCTAAGCATTTCCCTCCAAACATTTTACTTGTAAATTTTTTCACCTAATTTGACAGAATTTCACCCAGTTAGAAGCACAATGTTACCTCTCTTATTCTAAAGAGCCAAGAGAGTCTTGGAAGTACAGACTAATGCTGTAGTCGGAGGGATCTTTCTCCCTCCCTTAGTTCTTCCTATTAGCTTGGTTGTCTGCTCTGGCATTGCTAGGCGAAACTCCCTTCAGGGTTCCAGAGCAAGCCAAGTGATCGGCGTTTGAAAACATGTTACTGCCAGTATGAGAAATGGTATTCCTCAGTGTGCACTTAGTGTGGTTAGGATCTCTGCAACACTGCCACAGGGTAGAAGTCTCACTAAAAAACCTTAGTTAACATTTAACATATTTGTGGCTTACATTTAAAAGTAATTTCATAAGCCAAATGCAGCGAAAGCTCTTGCAAGCCTGTAGATGCAGAAGGTCAACATTTACAGCTGGATTGTTAAGTTGCTGTCTCCATCTGCATTTTTCTAGTGAGAGCAGTTTGGATAAAATAACAAGTGACGTGAAGCTTTTCTGAATTTAGAAAGTATTTGATGATTAAACATAAATACATGAACCATGAACTACAGATATGTGTTTCTGCCAGGAGAGGAAACAGAAATATTATTATTAAGTATATTCTCACGATTTTTTCAACCACCAGATAAAATTTACTAGAAATTAAGGAGGAGAAAAAGTGAATATATCCCCAGAATTTTTTTGTACTGCACCAACTGCTTTGTCAAAAAGGAATAGGTGGAAGCCCTGAGAGACAGAGCTAACATCCCACAGCATCATTCAGAAGTATAAACTATCAGCTGGCACTCAGTTTCCTATAAAGAAAATAGATATTAGAAAAAAATAACTAACATTCAGTTAGTTTCAGTGATATTTGATTGGGACTTGAAACATTTAAGAGTTTCTTTTGATTCTGATATTGCCTTTAGGCAGATGTCTAAGGAGCCCGGTGTAAATGGTTTCAGCTAAGGTGCTTTTTTCTCCAGTGAAGTGCCCTGGAATAGCATTAGCAATTTGCTAAATGAGCAAAAGGGTTTGACTTTTCTTTGCCAGATGTTCTATCCTAGACAGCAAACAGTGAATGGCCCAAGGCTCTTTCATTTGTACCAAACCAAAATCTCACTGCATGTCAAGATGGCTTTTGTGACTACTTGTGACTCACTGAAGACGGAATTAAACTTCATCTCCCAGATCAAAAGGATTGCCTACAAAATTCTGCCAGAGATTGTAAGGGTTCTCAAGTGAGACCCCACCCCTGTCCATGGGCTCGGGAGTCCCATTTCATCTCATCCCAGGGCCTTTAGTCCCTGCCCTAGCAATGCCACAGGAGTGTTGGTCTCTACATCTGCCACCACTCGTGTTTCACCCTGACAGGAGGTTCCAATAGAAGAAAAGTTCCTAAATATGTGATTATTTAAGAAGCAAAGAAAACACAGCACAGGATAGAAGTCACCCATCCACAAACCTGATATCATAGTTTCTCTGAGCACCAGCTAGAAACGTCTTAGACAATGAAGAAGATAAATACGTTGAAGAATGTGTAGGGTCATACTACAATATACCCATGAAAAAGAACATTCTCTCTGGTGTAAATAATCTGGGAAATGTATTTCTCTCTGAGAATACCTTGGTATAAATCCGAATCCATGATTTTATTGGACTGATGTTAATTTATACAAGGAAAAAATCAGTCTTTTTATAACGGTGAGAGGGAGAAAATAACTTAAAATATTCAAAAGTAAACAGAAAGTATTAGGCACTTCCTTGATTTTCTAGCACTTGTAAAACACTAATTAGAGAGAAGCAGTTAGTGATGGATCCAGCCTTACATTTGGAGTCAGGAAAGCCCTTTAAAAAATGAAAGTGTTTATAGGAAACAGATGTATTAATGTACTTTGTGTTCATAGGGAAGAGCAAATGGATGCAAGCAGAGAAGTTAGGTCACTGCTAATTTAATTGATCTACAACAACCCTTTATTTCATTCCTTGGAATAAAGTCCAGTGTATCTCTCTCTCTCAGCTTCTTCTTGCATCATCCAAACTCTACTTGGTCTCTCTATGCCAGATCCAGCACCTTCTCTGCTAAGTTTGCATCTGGGTTATTTTTATAAGACATATCAAACAGCTGCTTCCAATTCTGGTCAGGAATCACATTCAAAAAAGGAGCCACCCAAACCGTCTTTTCTCTCGCTAATTTTAGTAGGAATTAAAAAAAAATTGAGCTGGTATCTCCCATGTTTTTCTGAAACTTGGCCTCAGCCTATTTCAGTTGTTTGTTGAGAATTTCTTATACAAATTAGATAACATCCTTCAGGTCTAACCCTGATAATTAGCTTCCTTGTTAAGACCAAAAATGTAAAAAGGAAAAAGGACTATAAAGTAAAATCATCCCTAAAGAAGGTTTTGACTTGTTTATGACTGCCTTTGGATTTGGGGTTTTTTTTAGATTTTCTGCCCTTTTCCATCATGTTCACATATTGTGCAGTTATTTATACCCATCTGCCAGCAAATTTAGTCCTGTATATACTTTGCAGTGGTATGGGTAAACAGGTGAAATGAACTAGATACCCTCAGAACACGGAAGTTTCAAGAATGAGGATTCAAGTTCAGGGTTTCTGCTAGCCTTTTGCCAAGGTGCTTTCCATCCTTCAGCTGAGATCTAGCCTGGGGGCTTGTTTTTCTTCTTAGTGTCTGGACTTAGTCCTTGTTAGAAACTGCTCTGCTCTTTATCTCCCACGGACATCCCCAGCACAATACTAATCACCTCAGTAAGACTGGTAGGGGAGCTGGGACAGTTCAAGGGTTCTTGAACTGGATGATTATTGGGACTTTCTGGTATGTTTTTCTATCACAGTGTATATCCTGGCTTGTAGAATTGTACAGATGTGAAACTTAGCAAGTATTCATGTAGGAACTAGGCATATGCTTTATGGCTACTGCTTTCTTCCTCTGGTACATTTAGATTACAGCTTTAGGCCTCCACTGTAGTTCTTCAGTTAGTAGAAGAGGTGGAGAAGTGCTTTCTGGAATATCAGAAGACTTGTGAAGCTGCTGTGGAACTTCTTGTGCAGTTGTACAGTTAGCATACTTTTCCCATGGCCACAGAAAATTGATGCAATATCCAAGGCAACTCCTTCCAGTCCTTAGTTCCAGCCAGGCAGAATCTTGGTTTTCAGGAAATAGCTGAGTAACTCCCCTTTGGAAAGTCTAACTTTCAAGGCTTCAGGAGAGCTGAAGTTCTCACAAACCAGAAACTTAGGTTTTGATCTGACAAGCTGTATTTTGACAGCTGAGATGGTAGATCAGATTACACAAAGCAGTATTTTACAGAAGATCACGTCAGAACAGAAGCTGAGACATTTCAATTTTGCATCCTCTAGGTCTTTACACGTAAGACTGAGCAGATCTGAACAATTCAGGGATCCAGCTTCTGAGAGGAGTAACAAGTAGGCTTTAAAGAAACATGAAATCTGCTTTGCCAGTGTAAAAGCCCTGCTCTTGACTTGAGGAAAGTTTCTCCAAAACACAGAAGTTCATTTTGCCTGGAGCGATCGCTATTATTTTAGTTCAGACCACCCACCCTCATCACAAGACTTGAGGATTTACAAATTTAGAAGAACAATCACATAGAAAGAACAATACAGACCAAAAAATCCTGTAATAGTGGGACACTTTTCAGCAGCCAAAGCCAGGAAACCAAGTATAAAGCAGGAAAAAGCAAAAATTACATGACTGCAACAGCTGCTATTAGAATCTGGTTTTGCTTTCTAGAGAATACTTTCTTGGAAAGTCTTGCAAGATAATGACTTTCCATTCAGCAAATACTATAAATGTTCTAATCATGGTATTTGAAGCTGGACTACACAGAAAATGTCTTAATTCCTCATTTCACCCAAACTTCCCCTATGCTAATGAGTGACAGATTTTTCCAGGGAAAGTTTTGGCCTAATTCTCTTTAAGTTCTAAATCCCCAGGTCCCATAAGAAACATGGCCAAGCAGAGTCTTGAACCTGCTTTCTAAAACAGAAAAAGCACTAATCCCAGAACCACCATTCTTCTTGGATCATGAATGCCCTGGGAAACTGATCCAGGCTTACAGACAGAGAATATGAAGTTGAAGGCAACCGAACATTATCTTAACACATTTCTTGGATATTCTACATCTCACTTCCTCATTTACAGAAAAAATATGGGAGACTGTGCACCAATAAGACATGCAGCTACAATAATAGATGCATTTAACCAGAAACATGGGTAATGACTGTGTTCTTAAAACATGCTGAAGGAATGTTTTTAGTTGGCATTGACTCTCTCAAAATTTTAAGGATAAATATATCTTAAATTATCCATGACTTACAAGTTCTGATAGGAAGATACAGATAAATATGGTTATCTAACAAAGAACAGTCTCCAAATTGCGTTGGGATTTTACCTAAAGACTTTAGTGAAAGCTGCTGGAAGTCTGCCATTAACTTCACTGGGACCAAAGTATTACTCTCCTATCTCCAGTTGCTTAAAATCAGTGTATATCCCAGGGGGTCTGGGATATACAGATATACTCTGCTTGGAGTTTGCCCTTGAAATCTGAGGAACTAAACTGAATTGGAGAAGTCAATTGAATTCAGATAGTAGAATTGATGTGCCCCTTGGTCTCATATTTCTGCAACTAGTCTGTTTCATTATAGCAAAAAACAAAACTTTGTGTTGTGGTGAAGCTATGTAGTGAATCACAAAGACATAGCAATTTAAAGGGTTTTTTATTGTATTGCACAAGATATTTATGCAATCCATGTAGGTACTGTAATTGAAGGATCCACATTTCCCAAAACATTAGCTGTTGCAGCACACATCACAAGCATTGTGAATAACCAGTGCCTTCTTCAAAAATTAAAATAATCAGCTGCAAGTTTAAGCATGTTGTGGAAATAAATGAAGAAAAAAGCTAGGAGTATCAATACATATTTCTTTTCAAACACACAAATATACACTTTTCAGAAGAGCACCAATACTGCCAAGCAACTATTTCGATGAGATACTGGATGTGTAGGCCCTGCAGTAAAAAGCCAATATGCATACAGAAAATATATATCAACTTTTAAAATAATTTAACCATAATATCTTGCAAATGTCACTGTTTACAATGTATCATTTCATATACAGTGTCAGGCCCAAGCCTCAGCTTGTGTAAATTTGTGCATGCTCATTTAAAGCAGCTGAGACTCTGGACCAGGTGTCCAAGCTGAAAAAGCCTTCAAACTGTTCATATCTGAATATAGGGTGGTAGTATAAGACCAAGAAAGTAGTTATGGTGAATTTATAACAGAAATGGTACTATGGAAAATGAAGAAAAACACTATCAAACCCTCAAACACAAGGTTCTAGAAAGAGGCCTACACATAAAGTGATGTTGTAATAATTTATAAAAGTGAATAATTAATATCAGTCTCCTTTCTGACACTTAAGAGATTCTCCCATATTCAGAAGCCCGTAGAAGTGAACTAACCAAATGTCACAATCAGTATCATCCTCAAACTCTGTTTCTTAAGTTTCTGATCATTAATACTGGTACTTAAAAACATTTTATGTTTGCTGAAAATGTCTATTCAAATTTACCTTCCTGATATGAGAATTTATTGTAGTAAAAATCATGAAAAACAATAGGTAAAAAAATAGTATTTTAAGAATATTTTTAGAAAACCCGTCAAACAACTGCAAATACAGCTGATTTTTTTAAGTATCTACTTTTGAACTACGGTCTTTTTTGTTTGTTTGTTTTTAAGTGAATCACTTATAAAGAAGCAAGGGAGTACCAGTTCTAAGATTTATTCTTGTCCATTACATTGAGGACCTCATCCAAAAGTGAAGGCCCCAAGTCAAGTTGTAGTGAGAGAAGAGAGCCTGCAAGATCTGAAAGGGATTCTTCTGACTTAGTCTTTGTCTTGGTTAGATCACATGAAAGCCGACTGTCATCAAATAAATCAACTGTTTGCCAATCAGTGCATCGTTCAGAAAAACTGGATGAGTGACTGTCGCTACTATTAGTAAAATGCGACGAAGAACCATTTTGCTCCCATATGTCATCTTTGTATGTTTCTCCATCCTCCATCTGTTTACTTTTCTCCTGCAATTTTTCTTCTATTACTGGCTCACAGCTAAGCCTAGGATTTCTCGATGACCTGATGGATTCTTGCTTTGAACTAAATGTCACCGGTGACAATAAGGGCAAAGTAAGGGCTTGAGAACCACCAATGGCAGGAAGGGAAATAGCATTTTTGAGCACTGGTGATGGAGTTTCTGTAAACATGGATTCAGAAGTGCTGTTTGCCCTTAAGAATTCATTGTGGAGACCAGACTGGCTAACTCTGGTTTCACCTTCATTTCCAGGCAAAAGCTCATAGTTGCCCTGCAGAAAGGAGATGTCTCCAAAAACATCATGTTGTCCCTCTTTTCCAATGTGTATGGTGTGACGAAAATCTCCAAGTGGTGGACTGATCATATCAGGAGATAAGATATCCCTTAGTTTGAATTTCTTCCCTTTCTTATTGTTAGCAGCTTTCAAGTAGATGGGTGTCTTGGCTGGCATCTTGCTTGTAGACTCTGAGAAAAGTAGTTATTTTTAAAAAAAAAAAAAAAAGAGGGGTGGGGAAGGAGAAGCCTCTTAGAAAGTCAGTTATCCTCGGAAGAGCTTCAGCTTTATCAATGTTACATCATCATCTTGAACCACTTTTGCACATAAAGTCTCTTTCTTCTAATACAGAGAACTGTGGAGTATGTGAAGGCGACTATCTCCCACTTCAGCTCTTTGCAAGGTAGAGCACAAGTTTCAGGGTCAGTAAGCAACCAAATGCCCTGCTGCTTCCAGAACTTGAGGAAACCTGCATGGGATAAAAAAATCAGGTTATCATTAATTCATTCAGTTTTGTTTTTAGCAAAACCTGAAATTAGTAATGGTACTGACAGTTCCAGTCTGCAGATTAGCTTTATGATGTTGCTTCCCTTCATTAGGTAGGATAAAAGAGTTTAGATTAACATGGGCTAGCTAACCTTTCTCTGATTTCATAGCTTTTTTTTGAAGTCAGAGTTTCTTAGACACAGTTGCTGAGCACAATTCATCTTCTCCTTATTCTGGCATTCAAAATGCTGGCCTTTGAGAGCACATCCAGAAACACATTTTTAACATTAAACAATGTTAAGTTTTTTGGTAGATCTAAGAAGAGTGGCAGAGTCATTCAGGTAACCGTTTTGGAAATGGAGATCCCCTCGAATCAGATAACTTCAGATACCCCCATTTAGTGCTGGAATTCTCACAAACTGTCACCAACAACATTTCTGACAATTGTGTCCATTTAAATGGGTAGTTTTAGGTACTTTAAAAAAGAGCTAGTCCAGGTCTTTACAATTCATTAGGAACATCCAAATACAGATGTCTTAGAAGAGACTGATTCTTGCGACTACAATCTTTAGACTTTAGACTATAAATGCTTCATAGCAGTTAGTTATAGCCTAGCCCACAAATTATGGAGGCCATGAGGCCACAGTGCCTCAGAGTTGCTCTGTGCAACCAAAAGAAACAGCGTTTGCAAACCATGTTGTCCTATTAGAACATGGTCTTTGAGAAACCTGATAGAGCTAACAAGGGCTAACAGGCTATTGGGTCAACAAGTTATGGAAAAACACTCTTCATTAATCTTTAACAGTGTATTTCTCCCTTACAGTACGAGTTCCTGACTCCCAAGCAATCTCAGAATTAAATGCATTTTTTCTCCTGGACATTTTTATACTTTCCTCTATTAAGTCTGAGCACCACAGATCACTCCTCCTCATCAGAATACTCAGCTACAAATCCCTCACACTTTGTCCATTGCCATCCTCACTCTGTAAAGGAGCTTGCAGAAACACTGCTCTATACAATAAGTGAAGGGAAGCCCTCTGTAACGAGAGTTACTTTTGCTGCCTTTTATCCATGCCCTGGTAGATATTTCCCTTCATCAAATTAAGCCCAGTAACAATCATCAGTTTTAAAAACTTAGTACTGTATGGTTATACACTCAGATTGTCAAGAAGTATTTAAGCATTTTCACAAATCCTTTAACCCAAGTAATTAGTTCCTACAGTGTGGTACTTAACAAGGGCAGCTGGGAATCTAGCCACGTTAGTGTTTTGGGTTTTTGATTCCCACCAGATATCTACTGCACTTCAGATAACACTGAAAAGCACTCCCCCCCAACAAATATATCAGATGTAAACAGATGAAAGTTGAAATACAAAATAAGCTCAATGTTCAATAATTTCTGAGGGTATTTTATACTTTTAAGATCAATTTTGAAAATGTAATTGATCACATCAATCAATTAGAAGCCCTTCAAAGCTTCCTTTCACACAACAAAATGGTACTTCATTAGGACTTACAGAATACTAGGAGATTCACATTACATTCCAAAACTTCGCCAACTTAACTCCATGTCAGTACTACAAGATACAAAAGTAACTCCTAAGATCACTGCTTGTGCCACATTCAAACGGAACAGAACTAATGAGTCAAGTTAGTTACCTTGTAACACTGTAAAATTTACTGCATTGTTTCTCCCTCTTATTATTGTTCTGCCCAAGCAACCCATTTAGCTAAACAAAATGTCCTCAGCTCTAGAGAGAAAACTATTATCAAGCAAAGACAAATGGCGAGGTTGTTTTATGTTCATCTAGTGAACTCAGTTCTATCCCACTTCACAGAAATAACAGGTCAAATTCTCTCTCATTCTGATTTCTCATTCTTTCAGATGTTTTAATCTGGGATGAATGGCAATGTAGCATCAATGTGGTTCAAAGTCATGCTTGCTGGTCACTAGTTTAAAAACAAAAGACAAATCCTAGTTCATTCAAAGCTTCCATGGCTTCCACCAGTTTGAATGTGTATCAAATACCATTATTACTGCACTCCACCAGGAGATTTAAAGAAACCCTGAAGGACACAATGAAATATGTGAACATGAGGAAATATTAAAAATAAAGCATAAAATAACTTTAGTGTAAATAGATCATTTTGACATACAAGAAAAGCACTTTGTTTTATTTAGCTCATACTTCAGGAGGAAAAAAATGCCAAAACTCTGTAGGTAGAGCAAACTTTGGGGCATCCAGATCTCCTTTAGTTCTTGCGCTACAAGAGAGCCCCAGTAAGGGGCAGTGTAAAACCACACTACCTCAGAGGATGCTGCAAGAGACTCCACTATCAAGAATTATAATCTCTCTCTATACAACAGTCCCTTGAATTGTGAAGGCCTTGCCTTCCATTTGGTCAGTGCAAGAGGCTTTGCATTAGAAGACAAGAACTTGCACAATTATATGCTTAGTGCAAGCATTGTTTTCTCTGCTGAAGACAAAGGCTACTCTTGCTGCAGTTTTCACTAGCCACTGTATTGGAAATCTGCAAATTACGCTCTGTAAATAAAAGGGTTCTCTCCTCAATGGACAGGCTTTCCACGTACAATATAACATAGGTTTCAGAGCAACTGTATTTTGTTTCTGCATACCTATCTTCTTTGTCAACTACTGCCCAAAGGAGTACAGATTAAGCTACTTCGAACAATTGAAATATATCATAAATCTGGAAATAGTCACTTAGCTGAAATACTATTGTTATTCATATTTCATTTACAACTAAATAAGGAAGAACCTATATCAATACATATACATGTAGTATATGTAGACTTTTTATTAAGAAAAAAAATATAAATCAAACTTTGGCAAATGAAGAAAAGCTTAACAAGACTAAGCCTCCAGCTCAAATCCTGCAAAACTAGTCCACAAAATTTTCACAGGAATCTTAACACACTCCCTGCATTCAACAAGATTTAATGGAATCACAAGTACATATGGGCTAAGAAAGAGAAGGGACAGATCACATTGCAATCTTGATACCAGGCCACACAGTAAAGTTGGTCTTTCTTAAAGGAGATCTTTTTCTGATCTTACTGCTAAAAGAGTCTCTGTTTTAACTAATTTCAGCTCAGTAACTAAGTGATTATATAGCCAAACTGGAAAGCTGAATAAGAAATTACCAGAAAACCAAAAGTCTACAATCCTGGAGTGCCAGCCTATGGTGGAAGACCCTAATTTAAGAGGAAACAACATGAAAGGATTTTTCTTATGGTTGAAAAGATATCCCTCTCCTAACAAGATCCAAGCATGAGCCAAAACAGAGAAATTTCAGGCCAGTGAAAATTAAAGTTTTAGTTTGGCTATAACACTTTCTCATTTTCATTCCTATCACTTCACACTCTCATTTAAGTGTTTTGCTTGGTAACTTAGTAAAGACTAATATTTTTAGAGGTACTTCTCAATCCTCCTTCTGTCCACTCAGCAATCATCACCTTCTACACAGCTCAAAGCTTTCCATGGATGCCTTAGTTTATTCCACAGTCCATTTTAAAAGGACAGACTATCAGGAAATATCTCAACAGCTAAGCTTGCAAAGTCAGAGACAAATAAGGGTCAAGGTGCAGACTTATTTGTGCACAAATCCTAAGAGACCCAGATCCTTAAGCAGTGTCCTAAGCAAAGAAATGATAGAAAGAAAATCACATTTCCACAGAGCAGAGCCAGAAGCAACTGTTCGCGCTGGGAAGCCTATAGGCTTTCTACAGGGCAATCCCTAGCAAGGGCTCTGCCTTACACATCACTGACTAGAGGCATGTGAACTTTGCAGAAACTCCTTTCCAAAGCATAATTTCAAATAGCATTGAATTATCTTGTGGAGCAAGTCAGTAGGAGAAAACAGAGTCTGTACATTATTTAAATAACAAAATGAAAATGTAGTAACATAGCAATAGACAGACAAACTACACAATAAGCTGCTGCAACTTTCCTACATGATGAAGTATCTGCAAGTATAGAAGAATCAGGCCTTAGGCCTTCATTTTAGGTTTTAGCTACCAGTAGCTTTCAGCATATGAACTGTTGAGAGCATCCTTGTCAATGCTGTTACTTTCACTATGCCTGAAACAACATCAGTGTAAAACGTGTTTTTACAGGTTTTATAACAGGGGCCTGAACTCATGAAGTCACAACTCCTGAATGCCACAACACAAACTCCCAGCCTAACCAAGTCCTCAGGTACAAGAAAAGCAGCAGATAATGCACTACAAGGCTTACCTCTCACGTTCCTGTGGACTTAGGTGTCCATATCAACTATCAGACTCTGAAGATGAGACAAGTCTGTCCACTTCTAGACCAGGCCACCACCTCTCTGCTTATAGAGCCACCACCTTCTGAGTAGCTTTAACCAAATCAGATGGTAACACTTCTCCCTCCAGATTGTTTATAAAAGGCCCTTTGAATTCATCTGTATTAAAGTCAACTTCCCTGATCAGATTAGAAGTCCTTGCCTCTTTGCTTCTCCTTTCATCAAAGAATTTGCACCTGATTAAAGCTACAGATTTAATTACTTTATAAAAACTAGATTTAATTATTCTATAAAAACAATCAGGCTAATTGCACTTCAGTTCTCTCAAACTGCATTCACCCAACTTTCCTAGATCAAATCTAACCTATTTTATCCTGTTATCACACACGTTTTTAGAAAATGATGGAAAAAATAATCCGAAATCTTTCCCAAAGTTACAGAAGCACAGGTCAAGAGGATGCAGTTCATTCATTTCTCCATTGTCCTGAAAAGACACAGATGCCTTGTGCTACTTGTGAAGATGTTTGTCCACCTTTCTCTTAAAATTCCCTGTACATGCAGACTGCATACATTAATTTACTTCACAGAGGTTAGTCATCAAAGAAGATGCACCTAAAGTCTCCCCTGCTCCAATCTGGGTCCTGATTAATACAATTAATTATTTTATGCCTTCTACATCTCCTTTCAGCCTTT